AGAGAGAGAGAGAGAGAGAGAGAGAGAGAGAGAGAGAGAGAGAGAACGTTTTCATTTGGTTTGCTTTTAGTTAAAGGCATATTCAAATTACATAGAGTGCAACCGATACATGGCTCGATCCCTTCTGAAAATCCGTAACTGAAGTACTAAAAGCTTGCGCGTCAGATTTCTACTCAGACCTCCTCTATAAATTCGATTACAAGCCTGAAATCTATACAACCAACCTCTTCGTGTTGATACTTCTAATAATGTTTTAACTCAATAAAATATTCTATATAGGTGTTTAAAGAAAATTAATAAATTAAATTTTAATTAGTTAATATAAAAACAATTTTTAAGTTTCTCGCTTGTAATTATTCTTATTATTATTATTATTATTATTATTTTCTTTTTGTTTTTTTTTTGTTTTGTTTCTGTAAAGAGATCTGAGAAAATTGCTCCAGGATTATTATCAATTTATCTGTAATTACTTTTTACTTTTAAATAAAATATTTTAATTATGATTCTCAAAATTATACGATATTCCGTATCGTTGAATAATGTTCCTTTTGTAAACTGTAATTATCGAAAAAATTTCTGTTTATATCCTTATATAAAATATGCATTAAAAAAATCATTACGATCAAATAAATTTTTCCTGTTTCATCGATAGAAAAGTTTTCTTCATTGATAATGGACAATTATCAATTGTTGTCAATTTATAAGTTCGATCAGTAATTAATATTATTCCATCGAATAACAAAAACTTATAAGCTTCGTTTTTTTTTCGTAGTTATAAAATTCAAAAAATAAAATGAAAAATATTAAATGCGTGTATCATTATTTATCCATTATACATCAGAATTAATGATTATCATAGAGTGAAATTTCATACACAAAAGAAAGAAAAAGAAAAAAAAAAGATATGAAGAAAAGAAAGAAGAAAGAAAAAACAATACAAAAAGATAATTTTCTTATACCTGGGCCGAGGGATAACGTGGAGGCATGCAAATTGGCCTCCGATCGTGCTCTGGAAAGCACAGCTGGTAAATGCGGTGGTGGTCCGTGATGAGCACTGGAGGGTGTGTTACCAGATGGTGGACCAAGACGAAGTTCCAAACAAGAACTATCCATGCTTCGTGTTTTCCTCAATTGTGAGCTCATTGTTAGCTCGGATCCACCGTTTTCCTCGTCCTCAGGCCAAAATGAGACTTGCTAAAATTTATAAGAAAGAAATTTTTTTTTACTTTATCATTGTCGTTAATTAAATTTATTTAATTTCGTTTAATTAAAAATAGACGTATCGTTCGATTAATAATACAGTTTAATATATTAAACGTATTCAATTAATTAAATGTATAATAAAAATGATTGTTTATGAAGATGAAAGCTCAGCCATACCTAAGCCACTTCATGATCCAGTATATTGAATTATTTTTAATTTTCTATTAATTATTATTTATTTTATATATTATTTTTATATTACGTTTAATCGTTAACACACATGTACCTGTGTGTGCATGTGTATGTGTGTATGTGTGTGCACACATCATTAATCAATTATTAATTATTATTGTTACCACGAAATGATATTTACAATAGGTATTATAGAACATAATAATGAATCAATATTATTAATTTATTATTGCTTAGTTAATAATGTTTTCCTAAAACGGTTCGATTTCCAATAACATTCGTTACTATTCTGAATCTATAATTATTAGTCGAAAATTTCGTAATGAATGGGGCCAAATTTGAATTCAATTAAGGATATGTCGTTTAGTTCTCTCGCGCAAACTTACCCTCAGTCTCGAAGCGAACATGTCCTCAACGGATTGTGGCAAATATTCTCTGGTGGCTGCAACTTCGCGCCATTTGTCAACCGATGGATGAAGAGCAGCGAGTGCGACTTCGTAAAAGCTTGCGCAATGCTTTGCCAAAGAACATTGTCGTTCAAGGACAAATCCATACCTTCTTCTCTCTTGCGTCATAGCCTGTAAAAGGGAAACGAATAAATGTAAAATAGAAAAAGGAAAAAGAAAAAGGAAAGAAAAAATTGAGAAGAATAAAAGATCACTCACGTTTTTTAAACTTTGCTCACAAAATGCATCGAGCTTCGATTTCTCTTCCTCTAATATCTGCATATTTTTCAATTCTTTATCCATCGCGAGTCCACTTTTGCCAGCACCCCTTGACTTTTTTCTCTGTTTCTTCATCGTCGCCGCAGCCTTACTGTAAGTCTCAGATCTGGTCTTATGCTGTTGCAGGAACTTCTTCTGTTCGCTCTGCGTAAGAGAACGCAATATAGACAAAAGTTAGTCTCTCAGTTATGAATCTCTCAAGCAAACGTGAATACATACATATGTATTTATATGTTTATATACATACGTATATATATATATATATATATATATATATATATATATATATGTAATATTTGTATACCAACCTGAACAACCTTAGTATCTTTTTCCAAGTTCGTTTCTAAGGGTACCAAGAAATCAACATAGAACGCCTTCAGCTGAAACAGTCAAGAAAAGAGAAGGCGCGTTAAGTGGGCTTTCAAAAGTGGAAGAACTTTAATGCATACAGCGAGAAAGAAAGAGAAAGATAAAAAGAGGAAAAAAAAAGAGAGAGAGAGAGAGAGAGAGAGATAAAGGAACGACGTGACGAGGACCCCAAGCGAAAGCTTAGGTAATGAGACACTTTTACGTTGTAGACAGTGTAAGAAAAAGTCTCTCTTTCTTCTTGTAAGAGTTAAAGTTAGGGCAGCAGACCAAACTGGACATTTTCCTCGTCTTTCTAATTCTGACCTATTTCTGAAGTCAACTCACAGTAGTCTCACCGTTTGAGAAAAATTACAAAAGTGATACATTCGGTGGGTGCTACTGTCTCGACTTTGAACAGCTTATTCCTGTTTCTTTCTCTCCCTCTCTCTCTCTCTGTCTCTCTTTTTTTTTTTTTTTTTTTTCTTTGCGATCTTAGTATTTGGCAAAGGTGTTTGTGTGAGCGCGACGTGTGGACGTTTCTTTTCTCATAAGAACATCATTTCCTTAAGTTACGGGGTTAAATTTTTATCAAACTTCGGCCTTCAATTTCTTCTTTCTTGAAACACTTCTTTCTTTCTTTCTTTCTTTCTTCCTTTCTTTCTTTCTTCTTTATTTTGTTTCTTTTTTCTTTTTCCTTTTTTTTTTCTTTCTTTTTCTTTTCCTTCTTTCTTACGATACCTAATTTTCTTTTTCCTCTCTTCTCTTTTCTTTTCTTTTCTTTTTATTAGACGTTCTGAACGAACTCGTTCGAATCAACTGACGAAGTAAATTAATGAACGAAATGAATTATCGAATTATCATTTATTCTTTGATTGGAAAACTTTATTGATAATGTTTAATTTGCTCTCTTTCTTTCTTTTTTTCTTTCTTTATTTCTTTCTTCTTCTTCTTTCTCTCTCTCTCTCTTTTTCTTTTTTGTTTCATTAATTAAAGGAACCTCTTGTACGGTCGTTAATGTTTTAAACGAGAAAACCAAGTTCGTTGCATAATACAATTTGATAAACGTTCGCTAGACGTGAGAAAACCACGGTAGATCTTTCACATATGTAAGTATACGTATATATATATATATATACACGAAAATGTATATATGTGTATAGGTAGATACAATCTACCTAGGTCTCATAAGCAACCGTGAAACGTAGCCGCATAAGGCAGCTAAATTATAAAACCACCGGCATAGTTATCGTTGCGCTTGGGTAAAAACTTACTGCGAATTATCCTTGTACTTTTAGAATATTTTCAAATATTTTACATGATCATCTTTGTCCAAATAGAAACAATTATTTTACATTTGTATTTTCGAATTATTAATTATTATTTAAAGCATTCATAAATAATTATAACTTTTGGACTATTAACAGACGATAAATACGATAATAATAATGATAATAATGATAATAATAATAATAATAATAATAATAATAATAATAATAATAATAATAATAATAATAACAATAATAATAATAACAATAATAATAATAATAATAATAATAATAATAATAATAATAATAATAATAATAATGTCTATATCGAAACGTTCTTTTTTTACTTTTTAATATTTTTCTGATAGAATTATATAAAAGAAAATAAGAAAAACAAAAAAATTATGAATGAAAAGGAATAAAACTGCTTTATTAATAGATATTGAATTAATCATAAAACTAATACTACAGTTATTATTACTGTCGTAATAATGACAGTAATAACATAAAAAAGTAAAAATAATAATAATAATAATAGTAATAATAATAATACACTTTTATTGAAACGTTCGTATTCCACTTTTAATCTTTTCAATAGAATTTTATCAAAGAAAAAAAAAAAATTTGAATCAAGAAAGAAAATCATTCTTTTATTTTCCATCATCTCTTTACTTTAGAATAAAATTTTGATCAGATCAATTTTCTCACTCACTCCCACCCTTCGAGATATCGAGTACGTTCTCATCTGTTTTCGTACTTCAAAGTTCGACAATTTTGCTTTCAAATATCTTTTTTTCATTTCTCTCTTTCTCTCTCTCTTTCTCTCTCTATCTCTATCTGTCTCTTCCTCCTCATTTTCCTGAATTTTCTCTAAATCGAATTCCGAAATCAAGGTGAGTGGCCACGTGCAAGCTTTCAATTGAAACTTTTGCATCTTCTCTTCTTTTATGCGATCGATCAAAGGGAATCCAAATCTAAATTGAACGTACATACCTTCGATGTCGATCATTGGACCTGATTGAAATATATGTACATACATATGTATCTATGCTCTTGTATCTTTCTTCTTTTTGTGTTTTTATTAAAATAATAAAAAAGAAAAAAAGAAAAAAAAAAGAAAAAAAAGAAAAAAAGAAAGTAGAGAGAAATAAAAGAATTAAAAAAAGAATTGTACTCTTTCATGAGATCAAGATTTTACATTTTTCTCCTTTCATATTTCTTTGATCCGATCGAACTGTATATATTACATATCATCTATGTGTGTGTATAAATATAGGTATATAACGGTATCTAACATTTCAGATATTTTTTCTGTTATAATAAAGAAATCTATTGACGTTACTCGCTATCAAAAAAAAAAAAAAAAGAGAGAAAAGGGGAAGAAAAATTACATTATATCTGATAACAAACGAAATCAGGTTTATTATATATAAAAAAAAAAAAGAAAAAAGAAAAGAAAAAAAACGAAGAAAAAGATATACGAAGAGGTGATTCGAAAGAAATTTACTTTGTTTCAATCAAAATTTTTCTCTCTCTCTTTCTCTCTCTCTCTCTCCCTCTCTCTCTCTCTTCGTCTATCTCTCTTTTTTCTCACGTACGAACATTCTATTTCATTCTACCTGAAGAATTTTTCAAACCTTTGAGCTGAGTTACGAGTTGATCCGATCACAAAGGATTCGAAAATCAAACGGAACGACTCGATACACACACACACACACTTTCTCTCTCTCTCTCTCTCTCTCTCTCTCTCTCTCTCTTTCTCTCTTTTTTCGACTTCGTCATAATATTTTACGACTGAACGCAATAAAATATCATACATACATACACACACATGTAGACAGAGAAGACAAAGAGATGTTTATTTTTTCTATCCATTTTTACGGTAAAAAATAAATAGAGAAAAATAGAGAGAGAGAGAGTAAGAGAGAGAGAGAGAGAGAGAAAAGTTCGAGAAATCGAATAAATCATGTGATATCGATTGGAACGACATCATTGAAAAGTGATTGAGAATTCGAATCTTTCAAAATCGTTCAAGTTTTTCTTATCTACTATGAATTATAATAGCTTTGATATCGACTAACCCTCTTTCACATATCTCCCTCTCTCTCTCTCTCTCTCTCTCTCTCTCTCTCTCTCTCTCTCTCTCTCTCTCTACCTGGCACTTATTAGATAACAAGATAAACGACTTCGATTTCCTACTAGTTAGACATAATTCAATTTCGAAAGGGTAATACTCGAAAAGCATCGATGTTGACGTAGTTATAACGTTTCTTTTTGTCTTTGGAAACGTTTCGTGAAAAGAGCATCGGTCTTTTTGCATCATTCCTTTGGCTGGGGAGTTCAAAATGGAAAGAAAGACAAAGAGACAGAGAAAGAGAAAAAGAAAGAAAAATAAAGAGAGAGAAAGAGAGAGAGAGAGAGAAAGAAAGACACTTGGAATATGGAATAAAGCCAAATTGGCCCGTCCCCAATACTCAAGGTCACTGGCTGGAAGATGTTTCTTGTGAAAGAAATAAATGGTAGGATGGTGGTGGTGGGCGGGGGATGAAGAGGAGAGGACTTAAAGGGTGAATTTCGAATAAAATAGGTCGATTCGTAACTCGTCGATCTCAAGTACTACCTATTCGAAGGAAACATTCTAAAATAAGAATAAACGAGAAGAAGAAAGACAAGGAGAGATACAAAGAGAAAGAGAGAAAGAGAGATAGATAGATAGATAGATAGAGAGAGAGAGAGAGAAAGAGAGAGAGAGAGAAAGAGAGAGAGAGAGAGAGAGAGAGAGAGAGAGAGAGAGAAAGAGAAGCATGACGATAGGATCTCGAGGGAATGCGTCTGGAAAAAGTACTTACGTACATATACATTTTTGAGATATGACGCACGCTTTATGTGCACGCTATGCAAAACACATAGATATACATACATCAAACGTACATATAGGGTGTTTGATGTTTCTTCTTCTTTATAAATGTTGACAATATATATATTGTGTATATATATATATATATATATATATATATATATATATATATATATATATATATATTATTCGTTAAAATGAGAAATATAAATGTTAAATACAAGAAGTTAAAAATGCTGAAGAAATAAAAATATTTGAAGTTAATAATGCTCAGTTGTAAAAATTATAAAATAAATTGTTGAACAATTTAATATTGATAGTTTGAGATTTGTTAATTTGAAATTTTTTCACAATTTTTGAACTTTCATTCTGTATGTATGTACGTACTTTACGTGTAAAATTTATGATTTATCATTTATCACGAGTACACTTTTATAGATACGAACGATCTTTGAAAATAATATTAAAATTTCTTTTAAATTCCCATTGATTTTCGTGCAATATTTATTTTTTACTTGGTTGTCTTTCTTTTTGTTTCTTATTTATTTATTCATTTATTTATTTATTCTTATTTTTCTTTACTTTTACTTGATGGAATCACGTTGACGTTTATAAAAAAAAAAATCTTACTTGGACACCCTGTATATATATGTAATGTATGTATGTATGTATGTATGTATATAACGTTCTTGCAAACTTGTAGAGGGTGAAAGAGAAGTAACGCGAATCGTAGCGGAAAAAAGGACAATCGAAAAACTCCGAAACTCGATATGTGGTTACCGCGATGCACTGTCAGCTCGCAAAGCGAGAGAGATAGATAGATAGATGGATAGAAAGAGAGGGAGAAGGAGAGAGAGAGAGAAAGAGAGAACACAAGCCGTAGTGGACAGCCGGTTAAAGGATGAAATAC